GAATTATTGCGTTCATGTAGAGGTCTAAAAGGCGACCCCCCCCCCCCCCTCCCCCAATCGCCATCTGTTCGTCCATAATCACGCTAACCAAGGGCGGTGCTTTACCTCGAGTTTATCACTAGAAAGTCATTGCAACGTATCTTCACCTGATAGTGCGCAGGGCGGCAAAATATAAGGACCTTTCTAATCAACCAATAACTGCTGAAACCAAGACAGAGACCTGTCCTCAGTTTATTCGTTGGCCAAGAGACGAGTTGACTTCTACGGATCATCAATTTGACGAACCGGCCCGGCCCAAAACCACTCAACGGTCCTCGCTCTTGTTCCGAACCCCCGATTTAGAGGCGGGAATCGGACCGTGCAGACAGTAGCGTCCCGACAAAAATAAAAGAAAGTCATTCGAAGCGATGTCACCATTTCGGGAGACCTACTCCTTCCGGTGGACTCGCTCAAACAGTCGAGAAGCCTGTTCAGCTGACCGGAAGTGACGACTCAGATTCAAGCTCGGGAAGCCGTTACTCTGGTTGTGGGCAATGTAAAGACACACATACAATCGCTGTAAATATATATCTATATGTCTATATATATATATATATATATATATATATATATATATATATATATTTTTTTTTTTTTTTTTTTTTTTTTTTTGCGAGATTTTTTTTACTCAGTTTGCCAAATACACGCTTACTAGACATCTCGGTTTGGAGGTTTTAGTATCAATGATATAGGCAACATGGACACACCCCAAAAAGAACACTTAGCGCATGTGCAATTTTCTCTGTTATAGTCATGTCTGGTTTTAATGCAATAGCATTTCTTTTCTTTCAGCTAAATACGAACTCCGAGGAACAAAGGTGTTTCGCTTTTTCACCTATAGAGCAGGCGTTTATACTTTGTTTCACCTGAAGTACAGACGCTGTCGACGCTACGAGCTGGTGTGACTAATAAGACATCATCAGAAGGCCGCCATCTTGGTGTTTTCCAGGTTTCTGTACCTGCTTTTTCATCGCTCAACCAATTATAAACAGAAAAGACTTGCGCTTTTCACTCTGCTTGATTGGTCTTCGTAGCGCTGGCTGCACATCGCTTGGACTGACGTCACATTGCCTTTTTTGACCACCATGAGAGAAAGAGGGAGAGAGGGAAGCAGCTTTTGTGAGAATTTTCGGGTAACGGTTTGATTTTCTAAAATCGACCGGGAGGAAAATGCCGAATGCCGAGGCCGGGATAACTGCCCACAAACTCGATCTCTACGAAGTCAACGAAACTGTCATCGTTGCTAAAAGAAGACGGCCCATGACGGTCGTTTCCAAAGTGGCGTAGATAAAAACAAATCGCCGCAGCTTTTTTCGCGGCCTCGGAGATGCAGGAGCGAGCCGACGATAGAGAATTTACGTTTGAACTACGGGAGTGTCAGCAAGAGACACGCAAATACCTGTTCACACTCGGCGCGGACGTACGCGCTTGATCGAAGTGCTGGGTTCGCGCTGTTGGACTGCGAATCGGTAAGCGCTCCGGGACCATCTACGATTGCAACTAGGCACTGACGTGACACTCGGGAAAGAAAGGTTGGAACGGCATCGCGTAGTTCCCACGAAATGTTAAAGCTCGACAGTGACGTATTGTCGTGTCAGAATTAAAATGGCATACTTATAACAAAGTGTACATACAGTGTTGCGAAAATACTCCATACGGCGTTTATTTGAGCTCTATACAACACAAAAGAACGAGATAACATCGGTGAGAGTAACGCTGAGTCGGAGTAGTTCCTCCGAACTGCTCCGAGTGCGTTCTAGACCAATATTCGGCCGGGCTCGCCCTTGGCGGTCGCTTGGTCGGTGGGATCGTTGCCGTCGTAGCTTTTCCCGGGTGTTTGTGGATCCAGCGTTCATGTCCGTCGGGGTCGATTTAAAGTACTTCTTTCTTTTTTCTTGCTGCTTGAAGTCGAGACGCGCGAGAAGTGAAAGTAGAAAGATAAATGTCCATTGGTCGCCGCGACCAATTAACTGAGCGACGCTGTCGGCCATGCTGATTTCATTGTGAAAAGTGTGTAAGACAGTCACAGAGCTGATGTAGGATTCCATCGTAACCTGCTCGAAAGTTACGATAATTTTGTTTCGTTAGTGCAAATTTATTCTTACATTTTGTCGCACGCACATTTTTGGCGTAAGATCCTTTCGTGAAGCTGGCCTCAGCATTCATAGCCTACTCGGCGTTCTCAGGAAAAAACGAGGCGAGGGAACGTCAAGCAGCCTCCGACGCGGGCCGTTTGAGTTCTTCGAGTATTATTTCCGTCGAGATAATCTCTGAGAACTTTTCACGGCTCTGTTATCTCAGTTCATGAAAAATAGCTTATAGTGTCGGGTCTGGGGGTATGAGGACAAAATAGACACGTTCGCTCATTTGCTTTAATACTGCTTAAAAAAACAAAACAAGAAAAAAAAAACAGCTCTTTTCAAATCTTGCACCAAGCAAGCTTGATTTCGTCCGAGCGTCGTGAATTGACCATCGGTGACACTGTATATTGCATATGCTGTGTTATTTGATACCTTTCTCAAATCGTAATTGGAAAATGTGGCATTGTGGGGTACGTACCATATATGTTGTTCGATAGATGATACTCATTGAATTTCATGTCGTGAACTGGTGATACCCATACAGTTCGGCTATCCTCACTGGTCAAATATTTTCGACAGTTAAAACCTTTGTAGATAGATACGGCTAAGTGTATGGCGCCGTTAAATATCAACATAAAATTAAACACACATTCCTGTAGCATTTGTTTTGTCGCGCACGAACTCACCAAAATATATTTTATTTGTTTCTTTTATTCCAGAAAATAGTACAGTGCTTTCCTTAAAACCTAGAATATTTTTATTCACCGTAGAACACAGAAGAGAAAAATAAAACGTAGCAATTTAGCCGCCATCTGCGTACGGAATTGCGGCTACGCCGGCTGCCACAGCACACTCACGAAAAACCCCACAGCCCAGCGCAGTCGGACAACACTGACGTACCCTCTCAAAACCAGGGACGCGAGCTGAAATCGCTTCGTTGGAAACTGCCGCTGGAAAAGTTTATGGGTGCGGGTCCGAAGGCCCTATACACCATGTTTCGTTTACTCTCGTCGCGCAGTCACTTGGTAGGCATACCCGGCACGGGCGACGAAAAAAATAATAAAACATTTCAACTTGCACATACAAAAACAAAAAAAGAAGTATAGAGACGCAAAACAAAAGTGTGTGACGGTTACGCTTAAATCCTACATGTCTCCTATCGGCGCGGCGAAAGCAAAATAACGTTTTCGCCCATACCGGAAGTGACGACATTCAAGATGGCGGCAGCCAGAGCAAACGAAGTAGCGCCAGAAGTGGCATCGTCATGGTGCTCATCGCTTTGTAGCGGCAGCTGCGATGGGACTTCGACTTTAACGGTGTCTAAGATTTTAGCGCTCCCAATACTAGGCATTTCAACGGGCTGCCACAAAGATGACACGACGGATTCTACACATGCTGAAGACAGTCATGTCGTATTACACCTGAGACTGCGGTGGAAGAAATCGGAAGAACTTTCAGTAGAAGGAACAGACACAGAGAACGTCTCAAACTCAGCTAACTGGTTTATTTCTCAAACAGCCTTTAAGTACCCACGGAACTTTTTCCCAACCACACTCTACAGATAAACTCCTTTGTTGCAGACATTTCAAACCGGATGGATACAAAAGATACAAAACAACCCACACATGGGACGAGGACTTAACAATGGGACACTGCGGATCATCGCAGTGACCTTGACAGAGATATGTCCCGAACTATCCTAACAGTCGCGTCAAAGCGCACAAAAAAAAACAAAAAAACACACACAGGTGGTCTCTAAACCGTGGCAACGCACCCAGACAAAAAAAAAAAAAAAAAAAACCACAACTAACATTTTTTTTTCCCCCTTTTTTCCCCTTTCCTTTCTTTGGGAAAACACACCCAAGTGATCTCGAAATCGCGATCACAAGCACATTTAAAAAAAAAAAAAAAAAAAATTTTTTAGATGTACATACACATATACATTGTCTCTCCCCCACCTTCTTCTCGTAAACCGAATGCGTTCGTTCAAAGTCTGAGAAACGTTTTGGAGTTGCGTCCAAGTTGCATCGATGCTTGGCTTATGCAGTTTCCGATAGAACTTATTCTTATTGTTTCTTTAACGACCCTCTTAATGTCATTTCGCTCTTTATGAAGAACTTCTGTCTCTGACCAATGCGCATTACAATTATTGCATTCCTCTATGTGCTTTGCTATTTCGGAGTTCGGCGCATGCGTGCGTACATTTCTCTGGTGTTCTAGTAACCTGTCATTAAGGCATCTTGAAGTTTGTCCCACGTACTTAAATCCACATGTCAACGGAATCTCATATACTACACTCTCTTTGCAAGGAACTGAAGGTTCCCGATGGGCCTTCTGACAACCCTTGTGGTCCGACAGGAAGGGCGTCAACCTGCTCAATTTTAAATCTGAAGAAAAAACTACGTCCACGCCGAACTTTTTTGCGAGAGCCTTTAGGTTGTGGGAAATCCCGTGGAAATACGGGATTACTGCTATCTTCTTTCTTGCTTCCTTTTCCCGTGGTTCGTTGTTAAATTTCAGTTCTAATTGTCTTTTAATGAATTCTTCTTCATAACGGGCAGATTCTAGCCTCCTCCACTGTTCTTTCACAGCACTACTCATAAAATGAGCGCATGATTTACCCAACGCGTTTGTTACTAAGGACTTAACTACCCCTGCTTTAACCGACTTGGCGTGACAACTCTTTCTACTTAACACAGGTTTTCCGGCTTTTTTCCCGTATTCCCAACAAAGACCTTCTTCGACATGTATGCGTAAATCTAGAAACTGCAGGATCCCATTTTGAGGTTTTTCAGTTGTAAACCTAAGCTCCGGAGCTGCTGTTTTTATAATCTATTCCAAAACCTGAGCCTCATTCTCTCGAAAAGCGCAAATAAAAATATCATCCACGTACCTTTTAACAATGCACCCATTCAAGTTATTTTCTTTAAGTGTTTCACTTACGCTACTATCTAAGGTGTTAAGATAGATTTCTGCTAACATCGGAGCCACCGAAGATCCAATGCATACACCATCTTTTTGAACATATTTCTGCCCATTATATTCAACAACTGTTGCTTGAAGGTACAAATCAAGAAGTGAAAGGAAACTGTCGACGGCGATGCCCGTCCTGGACTGAAAGTTTACCAGGTTTAACTCTAGCACTTGCCGAACTCTTTGCATCAAGCGCACTTTCTCAAGCGAATAGTATAGATCCTTAATGTCCATTGACATTACAGTGCATTGTCTTCCATGAAAGCCCTCTAGAACATCAATTAGTGCCTCTGAATTTCTCAGTGAAAGACTCCCCTCCAGTTGAATTACATTCAACCCTCTTTGCGAAAATTTCGAGACGCTACACTGCCACGTTCCGAGTTCGTTGATTACTGTGCGAAAAGGCATATCCGGTTTGTGATCTTTCAAAAAAAATTTTAGACTTAACGAAGACCTTGTTTGGTTAACTACTTGTTTTGCCAAATTATCCATCTCATCTTCCTTGAAGATTTCAACAATATTCTTCTTAATTTTCTTAATGTTCCCTTTCCATTCAATGAAGAGTGCGCCGAGGGCTTCGTCTGCCTTTCTTCTGAACACTGTCTCGGGAAGGACACCGAACATACCACTTTTGTCAGTCTGCAGCAGACGCAGCGATCCCCTTTCTAGTTCCTTCACGGCAGCGCTTATGACACGAAAATCTCTCTTTTCAGTTCGAAAGCTATCATTCATCAGTTTGTCCATTCTATCAACAGCACAATCCACGAACGTGGCTCTTTCATCATGACCCGTCACTTTCGAAATAGTCTGAATTGCGAAAAACACATCTACCCTTGAAGGTTTCACGTTCATGCAAAACTTTGGGCCATTCCCCAGTGTTTGTTCCGTCTTTCTAGAAATGGACACCTCGCATGGGTTCACCACGTGCGGTATAGTCAGATTGGACTGATTGTTGATGTCTGGTAGTCTTCCACATGCTGTCGTCTGATTGTTCCTTTGGATGCTCCTTAACACTGTTCTTCGCTTTACGCTCCAAAGACTGTCAAAAAGTACCTTTTTTCCTGCGTTCCAGCGTTGGAAGTCCTGATCGTGCTTGTATTGCTGGCCCCGAAGGATGGTCCAGATGCGCTCACAGGCCCGTCGTAGTTCATCAATTCTCTTGGTCGCACCTTGTCTGTATGCCTTGATAATCTTCTTTTTGGCGCTCCATGTGAATCTTGAGGATGATAGATGTTTGAAGAGGTTCGGATCCACATACCTCTTTCTCAAACTGATGCCCAGGAAAGCGACCTCCGCTTCCAATTCAGCCAAACGTCGTCCCAGGTTGTCGAGTACCGTGAATGCTTGAAGGAGCAGCGAGGTTGGTTGGGGTACAGCTGCGGGGCCATGGTTGAAGGGAAATAAGCCTGCTTCCGGAACTATTAGTGAAAAGACGGTGAGAGTGCAGGCGAGCTGGTGGTAGCTAATCATGTCGTATTACACCTGAGACTGCGGTGGAAGAAATCGGAAGAACTTTCAGTGTCACGAACAGAATGTACGTGACACTGAAGACAGTGTCACGTACATTCTGTTCCGCGCATTACGCTTCAGACAACCTCTCGTACAAACCTGTGATCGCGGTCATGCCACCCCCTTCCCCTTCTGGTATATACATCCTGGTTGTACTGAACTCGTGGAAAGTTTTACATAATCATACAATATTTCACAAGAAAAAAAAAAAAAAGAAGACATCGTGTCACGCTAAACAGAACCATGAAGGGAAGACATTACATGACAAAAAGGCCACACATGCACTCACATCATTGGAGGCAGTCGACTTGCTAGAAAAAAACAAAGCAATACTGCCAGCGAGCGAGTAACAAACATACAAAGCAATATACGATTCATTCACCCTAAAGATTCACGCAATAACAACATCAATGTATCATGATCAGTGACCGTCGCAATTTCGCTTGCCAACCCATTCCATTCAGTCGCCTCTTGTACGAACAGAGAGTATTTGAACAGATTAGTTCTTGCAAATGGAATATGAACTTCGTAACAATGATCATGACGAGGGGAAATGCGAACCGGTGGGAGATTGTAGTTTGACGGAAATCTGAGGAACTATGATAGAGTTTCTGAAAATGGGATAACCTTGCGAGGTATCTTCGCTGATGGGGAGCCAATAAACCAAGTGAACTCTTAAGTTTTCTGACGCTTATAGGTGAATACGTTTTTAGTATAAACCTGGTGGCCCTGTTTTGTAGTGATTCTAAATTATTAATTAAATATTTTTGATGCGGGTTCCAATTTATGGCTGCATATTCCAACTTTGGCCTAATGAGGGTAGAGTATGCAAGTAGTTTGGTTTCTGCTGTTGCCATATATAAATGCCTTCTTAAGAAACCAAGTGACTGGTTAGGCTTCCTGAGGATATAATATGAGTGTTCCAGGAGCGGTTGGAAGTTAAGTGGACTCCTAAATATTTATATGTGGATACTTTAACCAATTTTGAATCTATAACTTTGTAGTCGTATTGAAAAGACCAGCGACGATTGGTAAATGTCAATATTTTTGTTTTATCTATATTTATCTGCATTTGCCACGTGTCACACCATGAAAGTATGATATCCAAATCACTTTGAAGAGTTACGCAGTCACTTTGACTAGCTATTCGACGTTATACCACACAGTCGTCTGCAGATAGGCAAATCTTCGAAGAAATGTTGTTGGGGAGGTCATTTATATAAAGTGAAAACAAAAGTGGTCCAAAAACGAATCCTTGAGGGACACCAGATTTGACATGTATAGGTGGTGAGGTGATGTCATTTGCAAGTGCTGATTGTTTTCTATCGCGCAAAAACTCACGAATCCATGTAATTACCTTATCATTAATTTTGAGATATTGTAGTTTTTTTTATCAAACGACTGTGTGGTACATGATCAAAGGCCTTCGAAAAGTCTATAAAATTAGCGTCGATTTGTGAGGATGAGTGAATACAGGTATGCAAATCCGTTACCAGTTCAAACAGTTCGGTTTCTCACGAAAGACCACGTTGAAAGCCGTACTGATTAAGAAATAGCAGGTTATTTGAGACTAAGTGTTTCATGACAGATGAATATATTATATGTTCTAAAAGTTTACAAGAGCAGAGGTCAATGAAATTGGTCTATAATTTGTTGGACAATTTCGATTACCAGATTTATAAATCGGCACGACATTTGCTGATTTCCATTCGTTTTGAATGCGGCCGGTATTGAGCGATTGCTGGAATAAGCTGGCAAGCACGGCAGCTGATGCATCCTTTGTTAGTTTAAGCAGCATCGAGCATACACCATCAGGACCCGGGCTGGATTTTGTCGGCAAGCGGTCGACGGCAGTGATGATATCATCAATAGTAATTTGCACATCGTCCATTTCTAGGATGACGACCGTAGGTGTAACATGGCGGTCAGATAAAGGGAGCTCGTCGGTAAACACTTCGCCAAAAAATGTGTTAAGTTTAAAAGCGGACTCGGATGCAGAAAGCTTTACGTCACCTTCTTGAAGTAAAGGAAATGTATTCTTTTCTTTGTTGTTCGGACATGCCAGAACTTCTTTGGATTTGTTTTTAGTGTGCTAGATAAATCGTCGTTTAAAAAAACTATTCTTTGCCTTTCTTATCTCATTTTTGCATAAGCGCGCACAACCTTCGTACGACTGCCAGTCACGGTCTGAATTCGAGAAACTGGCCTTTCCAAAAAGTCTCTTCTTTTTTGAGATCAACCGTTTTACGCTTCGTGAAAACCAGGGGCAACCCTCACTCGGGTTAATGACCAACTTAGGAAAAAAAGCTTCCCGTATATAGAATTGTTTGTTTTTTATGGAAACCCAGTTTTCTTCAACAGAGCGTGTATAGAAGGTGCTTTCATATTGAATCAAAAAGTTTGACAGTGTTACCGCAATATTACTATATTTTGTCTTTGAGTAGTCATATATCACTTTGTTTAGGTTCACTCTCGAAGCATTCGATATCTTACAGTACTGCCTTTCCGCGCGTTGGATCATTTACCAATTGTATCATTGAAAATGAATCTAAGAGATTTATATAACTTGAACTCTCTTCTACACGTGAGCAAGTATTACATACTTGGAGGTCGGACCAATCGATTCCAGGATAATTAAAGTCACCTGCCAATATAAGTGGTAACTGTGGATACTTGAAATTAATAAATTATAGAATATCGGTTAGCCTGTTGACAAATTCACATGTCGAATCAGGTGGTCGGTAACAAATTCCAACTATAATATTCTGAAAAGATACGGTACCATTGGAAACTCAAAGGGTTTCAAGAGGAGAGTCGATTCAAATCAGAGTGCAAGATATGTCCTTTCAAACTACGTTGATTACGCCACCACCTCGTTTGGAAATTCGATCCTTACGGTATATTGCCGCACGCGCAGCTGGCCAAGTAGGCAGCGCGCGCGTGGCCTAACGGTTATCGCGCTTGCTTCCCACGCTGAAAGCCAGGGTTTGATTCCTGGCCGCGGAGGCACATTTTTGTTGACTCTGTAAAGTAATGTTCTGGTAAATTCGAGAAACCTCTTGCTGATTCGAGGTTAAAATGTTCTACGCGCCGAACCTTCTACGCCGAACGATCCAGAAACCCACGAGGGTACATAAGGGATTCCGCCAGGCGAGCGGAGTCAGTTTCGCCCCAGCGTTTGACTCTGCTGCTACGCCGACTTCAACGCCCGCGACGCTCTGTTATTATCTTTTGTACCCTTTTATTTTTGGCACAAGTTCGCCACATTAAACGTTTATTTCTTCCTGTTTATTTATTGTTTTTTAGTCACCACCCGTGACAATATGTTAAAATTGTCGCTCAAAAGTAAACTGGAATTTGAAATAGTATCGGTAAGCCACGTTTCGGTTCCAGCAAAAACATCGGCTGAGCATAAAATAATGCTGCTTGCGAAGTCATCCTGTTTTGGCAGAAGGCTTCGAAAATTTTCTAGAAAAAATGAGAGAGGGCGGTGCTGATTTCAGGCGCTCACAGTTGTTCTAGGTTTGGATTTATATTTTTGTGTCACGATTGTTGGTCCCGTGGCGCGTCTGCAGTTCTCCGTTCCCTCGAGGCAGTCAAAACGCTATCCGTTTTGTCGCATTACACGCACATCTGATTGTTGATAAAGAGCTTATCAAAAGCAAGATTTACCCCATCGCGCGTGGTTTGGACCGATTTTGCATAATCCCAAAGTTTTTTTACAAATTTCCCTCACTTTTGGCGAATAGTCTTCCTCTATCCACACTAGCGGGGTGTCAGTCGACCTTAGTCGCGACGCGCCATGGAGCACATGGCGCTTGCTCTTGAAACTTAGGAACTTAACAATAATTGGTCTGTTAAAACCTTTCCTTTTGCGGCCAACACGATACGCCCTCTCTATATCGCCGACGTTTAGCTGCAACCGGTCCGAAAGGAAGGAAAGTGCGATTCGTTCAGTCTGAGCCCACGATTCGTTTCCTTCCTCAGGAACGCCTTTAATCAGCAAGTTATTCGTTCTCATTTGGTTGTTCATGTTTTCGACAATGTCATGTAAACCACTTACCTCATGCTGTTTCGAGGATACGTCTTCAATTTGTTTTTCAATCTCGGTGAAAACATCATTTTTTTATTTCGTTTTGTTATACAAGCGTTCTACGCTTAAGCGGGCTGGATTGTTTGCCAGTTTTTGATTGAAAATAAACTTTATCCTTAAACTTTATCCCTTTTTCCTTAATCTTGCCAACGGAGCTCTCGAGACTTGAAACTCTGCGTGTCAAGTCACCGATTCCCAACGACATTTTATTTAGTTTGTCAGTAATCTCTGTTTGATGTCTCGCATTGTCAGAAATAACAGTGTTATGCTTCTGAAGTATTAGGTCAAGCTTACAGCTGTCGCCCTCTTCAGGGCCGGGGCCGGGGTTAGCTTCCATGTCACCTGAACACATGAGCAATTTGGCGATGCAGAGAGTGAGCAACAGGATACGAGCACTTGGAACATAAACATTCCCGTGAAGGCATTATCTTTGTTAAGTAAATCGCTATCATTCTTCTGACGATCGCGGTGATTCGCTATCCACGTGCTCCTTGGGAAAGCAGACCCACAGGCCTTGTTCTTAAGAAGCTCGACTACCGCTGGAGCAAAAAATAAAAGCCGTTTAAAACTCTCAGTAATGCCGGATTAGAGCGCAGCTCTTGAGGAGGTGGATGGAAGGGTGCTGAGGGATAGGTGACTCCCTGAGGTCACATGAGCTCGGGGGGGGGGGGGGGGGGGGGTCACGTGACCTAAGCGGGGTCACGTCAACTGGGGGTCACGTGACCTGGGCGGGGTCACGTGACCTTACGGCTACGCCGACAGCGCCGTCGGCGTCGGCTTGAGCCGCATCGGCGACGCCGACGCCGCTCAAGCCGGAAACGGTTGCCTAAGAGCTGCGTTCTAATGCGGTATATGTCATTATGTTGCTTAGTATCATCCAAAGCGGGCACCAGCCGATGAGCCCTAGCTTTGGTAGGTATTCACGCGAGGGAGATATCTCGGGGATTTCTCCGCGGCACGCGCATCCCACGACGAAAACGTCAGGCTTTGCGATGTGCAAGAGCCCTGCGTGAGACTCATTTTAGTTTGCGGCTATTTCGTCCGTTTTAAATCGCGCGCCACGAAGTTGTGATTATGTGACGTCAATCCCAACAGGTTCTCATTGGCTAAGAGTTTGATTGACAGCTTTGGTCTTGGTTGTTAAACCTTTGTTGTATGCTGCAATTTCCTTTTGAGCGGCATATTTTTACGTTTAAAGAATAACCCGTGTAATGAGAGTCATCATTTTTTGCAAAAGGTTTACAGGACGGGCACTTCCGTTTGAATTCATACCATAACAAACAAAAGCTCCGCCATTCTTTTCGTGGCCGCCGAAGCAGCCGACGTCTGCTCCCGGCTGTCGCGCGTAGTTCGTTCGTTTCGTCTAAGTGAGTATTTCGTGTTGACCCAGGTGCTTGAGTAAGACATCCTGATGTGAAGTGGTGTGTGTTTAGCAGCTGTCGCAAGTTTTAGTGATAGGAATCGACGCGGGTTTATTTTTATAGCGCAGTTTGTTACTTCCGTTTTCCTGGGTCAACTTAGCTTTCTTAGCGTGTTTTCTTTTAGTTTTTTTTTTTTTTTTTTTTGTATTTGCGCGTGCAAATGCCGACTCTTTTGAGATGTCAGTTCCTGCAAACTGGCTCCGTTGCTCTGTGAAGCGTTGCCGGATTAGTGATCGCGACAAGGAGTCTTCCAGTAGCCATGTCGCCCCGAAAGATGACAAGCTGAATGCTATTTGGCTGGAGGCAATTGGGCGCTCGCGTAGCGACAAACATGTCCAGGTATGTTCGCGTCACTTCGCTCCGGAGGCCTTCGAGATTCGCACCCCGCTCACCGAACGTCCACGACTGAGACGTGGGGCGGTCCCGACGCTATTCCTACCGAGTGCGACAGCAGCAAGTGCAGCATCATCGGTAAGTCAAACTTCTATTGATAATTGCTTACTACCTACGCTAAGGTTTCTGGTGGCGCATTGTCTCGTTTTAGAACTGTTCGATTTTATCCTAAAATTGTTGTAACGCTGGTAAGCGAGTTTCAGCTCAGAAGTTAATATTCTGCATCCAGCAATTACAAACATCCTAAATCACTGTGGCCAGTGATTAGCACCTACGGGTACGGGCTACTTGCCTTCAGTGTTGTTTACCCACGCCACCAAGAATTGAATGAAAAAATATCAAAAGTTTAGAACGCATTCTCTTCTGTGCAATCCAACCAGCTGATAACCGGACCAACAAGGCTAGGGCCAGCACCTGTGCCTAACCGTGTCAGCCAAGTTGGAAGCCCCTCTGCAGTGAGTTTTCTGCTGCCGCTATTTTGGTCTCCAAAAATTTAGAACGCATTCTCTTCTGTGCAATCCAACCAGCTGATAACCGGACCAACAAGGCTGGGGTCAGCACCTGTGCCTAACCGTGACAGCCAAGTTGGAAGCCCCTCTGCAGTGAGTTTTCTGCTGCCGCTATTTTGGTCCCCAAAAATTTAGAACGCATTCTGTTCTGTGCAATCCAACCAGCTGATAACCGGACCAACAAGGCCAGCACCTGTGCCTAACCGTGACAGCCAAGTTGGAAGCCCCTCTGCAGTGAGTTTTCTGCTGCCTGCTATTTCGGTCCCTAAAAATTTAGAACGCATTCTCTCCTGTACAATCCAACCAGCTGACAACCGGACCAACAAGGCAAGCACCTGTTCCTAACCATGACAGCCAAGTTGGAAGCCCCTCTGCAGTGAGTTTTCTGCTGCCGCTATTTTGGTCCCCAGTGTGCATGTACATTAGGTGTAAGCTGCACATTTCACTATAATTTCCTCTGCACTTAGCAACTGACAGAACCAAGCAAAGACAAAGCGGCTGCACCTGTGAATGACTGTCATTCAAGAAGCACATTCAAGTGCTTGAAATCATGGCATTTGTTTGTAGGCTGTCGGATGCTCTCCTCTTCAGCTGACTATGTGTACAGTTGCTACTGCATGCAAGAGATTTAGACCATACTTAGTACTTCTTGCAATCTGTGTTGTAGGCTCACTGCTGCAGGTGCTCTGCTCCTCGTGCAACTGTTGGCACACAAACAGAGGCGACAGATGCAGACACTGCAGATTCTGTCATACCCGTGTGTGAGTATAACTGAATACTTAAAGTACGGTGTTTTAGGAATACATCGCAATCTCGGCAGCATTTCATGCCAACTTCTTACTGAGCTTAAGTTATGTGTTCTATCTCCAGCTGCACAGGTCAACCCTGGGTGCAATGCGGCTGCCCTCCCACCACAACCAGGCAGGAAGTCCTCAGGAGCACTTCCGAGTCCAGTGCAACCTGCCACAGCACTGCAAGCTCGGCTACCTTCGCCAATCCCCAGCATGACCTCCAGCCTGCGAGCCCCGGACCAGCTCAGCAGTGATCTTCACGAAAGCCGTTGCAGGTGCACGCCCATACCACCTGAGGGTAACCACAGGACAGGTAAGCCCCAGTGAACAGCTGGATAGGCCTTGGATTGCAGACGATGGTGAGCTGGAGGACACCACGGACGACTCCTCAGACAGTGACATGGGTTCCGACGGAGAGAGCGACACGAGCACCGACATGGAGGAGTCGGACATTCGTTTCGAAGCCGAGTGCGGCACTGACCCAGGTGAGGAGCTTCACATGCCTCAAAGAGAATGAGATGGTTCCACCAGAGGGAAACAGTCACACCGGACATTTCTTTTGGTGTGATGGTCTGAGACGAAAGCTTGGCCCTCACTTAACATTCAAAGATGTCTGCCGGAGGGATGCCAACTCGGAAGTGTGTCCATACTATGCTATGCAAACTCATGACCGTTTCAAACGTCCTTACATTGTAGACCAAGATATTTATTTATTTATTTATTTATTTAAAATACCCTCAAGGCCATTGGCATTACAGAGGGGAGTGGGGGTTAGTGGCAGTAGTACACTTCGCAGCTCAATCTGAGCAGTATAGATTATTCATGGCAGTCCTAAATAAATGGTCAGGAACAATTGTTGCGATAGATGCGGGAAGGTGGTTCCAATCCACTGAAGTTTTTGGAATGAATGACTCTTGGAATGCATTAGTGTTGCATTTTAGAATGTCTACTTTATACATATGATCAATGCGAGGTGAAATATAAGAAGGTTGATTCAGCAGTCGGTTGTGAAGTAATGAGCTAGTATGGTATATCTTATGAAAAAGACATAAGCGAGCTATTTTACGACGTAAATTGAGGTTAGGCAACAATAGGCTAGTTTTCATTGAGCTCACGCTTGCGGTGCGATGAAAGTTATTAAGAATAAAACGAGCAGAGCGGTTCTGAACTAATTCCAGGGCGTTAGTTAGTTTGGAATGACCGGGGTCCCAGATAGAAGAAGCATATTGTAATTTAGAGCGTACAAGCGTTTTGTACAGAGTTAGTTTCAAAGATGAAGGGGCAAGTGAAAAGTTTCGTTTTAGATAACCCAGCATTCGATTAGCGTTATTAATAACATACTCAACATGCATTTGCCAGGAAATATCTGAGGTTATATACACGCCTAGGTATTTATAAGAAGAGACAGAATGTAAGGGGACATCTTCGAGAAAATAAGAAGAAGGAAAATTACATTTACGCGATACTGTCATGGCCTTGCATTTAGTCGTGTTAAGTTCCATCCCCCATAATTCACACCACTTTGAAACATGGTTGATGTCAGTTTGTAAATTCAGAACATCCGAGGCGTTAGTAACTTCTCTGTAAATAACACAATCATCAGCGAATAAACTAATTGAAGAAGAAATCGATTTCGGCAAATCGTTAATATAGATAAGGAACAATAGCGGACCTAATACAGAACCTTGCGGTACTCCAGAATGGACGGAGGTGAGCGGGGACGTTTCACCGTTAGCGGTTACAAACTGGGAACGATTAGTGAGAAAACAAGTTATCCAGGACAGAACATTTGCGTCAATGTTAAGACTGTTAAGTTTTAATAGCAGCAGCTTGTGTGAAACTTTATCGAATGCTTTGGAAAAGTCCAAAAAAATGCAGTCTACCTGGGACCCTCGGTCAAGCGCTAGGTGCAAATCATGGGTGAATGACAAAAGTTGCGTTTCGCAAGAGAAGGATTTACGAAAACCATGCTGAGCGGTGCTAAAGAAAAGGTTAGATTCTAAAAATTGAACTAGTTGTGAGTAGATGATATGTTCTAGTATCTTGCATGGAATGCTAGTAAGCGAAATTGGTCGATAGTTATTCGGGCAATGTTTATCACCTCCTTTGTGGATTGGCACCACCCTCCCTATCTTCCAATCAGCAGGCAACTCTCCAAGTGAAAGCGACTGGGAAAAAATTTGAGATAATATCAAAGAGCAATACATTTTTGTGTTCTTGAGGAACTTTGAGTTAATGCTGTCGGTGCCAGCAGAGGAAGAAAGTTTTAAGTTATCGATTATTTTAACAATACCAAATGGGTCGACAAGAACGGGTCCCATAGGCAAAAAATCACTCGCGTCAAATCTACAAATAGGCGTGTTAACGCCTATTTGTAGATTTGATGGACGAGTCCGCTGGTCCTGGTGAACCCGACACCACCTACGTGCTTTCTGCAGACGAAAGCTTCATGAGGTAGCACTTTTAGGGAAGTTCAAGTGTGTGTTACAGTTGAATTTTTATTTTCAGTGACCGTGAACAGGTGCCGCCCCAGAAGGAGCGCAAATTTATTGTATTTGAGGGTTGCCTCCTGGAGCTCTTCAAAGTGTGTCGCACCTGCCTTGCCACTTGCCGCAACAGCATCGTAGTCCATGGGCACTCAAGTGAAGATAACAAGCACCTGTGCACAGAACCACGTGGAGCGGTGGTGGAGCCAACCTCAGGTTAGTGGCAAAGCAGCAGGCAATATCTTGATTTGTGCGGGAATTCTGTTTTCAGGAGCCCCTGTTGCGACTACCCTGTGGTTGGTCAAGTCCATCAACGTCGCAACAGTCTCGGAGCGCACCTTCCACTACTACCAGCAGGCTTACCTGCTGCCCGCTGTGAAGCAGGTTAGTTAGTATAGGAAGGGGTTTAAAAATAAAAAAATAGCATAGCATAACTAACTTACAAGACATAATTGCTTGCCAGGTGTACAAGCGGCACAACTCTGAGCTTCTATAAGGACTCCAAGGAAAGACCATCGACCTAGCAGGAGATGGGCGCTGCGACTCGCCGGGGTTTAGTGCAAAATATTGCACTTACAGCTTCCACGAGGCGAGCACCAAAAAAGTCATGCACATTGAGCAGGTGAAAGTCGGTGAGGTAAGATTTACTAACCAAAACAAAAGGCCTACTCTGCATCACACACCCCTTTGTTTAGAATAATTAGAAATCATCCTTATTGTCCCTTTAAGTGTGATATTTCTAAGAACCTTACAATCAGACTGCAGTACGGTGACTGTTGTACTAATGAATGCATACACATTGTGATCAGTCAGATGAGGTGCCCTCCAGCAACGCCATGGAAAAGGTGGCCTTCGTCCGTGGCTTCACCAAGCTCAAGAAGGAAGACTTCACCATTGGCACTTTCATCTCGGGTACGTGAAACTTTCAACATAAGCTACTCACCTAACTGTTTTTTTCTGGCTCTCTGTAAGGTTAACCAGCTATCTGTTATTTGGTGTTCATTACAATACAAGCCCTTATATGCAGACCGTCACCCAGGCGTTGAGCACCACATGAGGCCCGAAGAAAGGGGCACAAAGCACTACTTCGACACATGGCACATTGACAAAGGTTGGTTTCCTAATATTTCATTTTATTTACTGATAGACAGTGACTAATTCGACAATCCGGGGTCAAAATAACATTATAAATTACTTTTATGTGTATGACGGTGATTCCGAAGGGCGTGCACCCGCCAAAATAGTTTATTTATTATTGTGACCTCCTTCGTAGAAGTATTGTTGTTCTTGCTTACAGACAGCGAAACGGAACCTTTGAACTGTGGTTCGAATCAAGACTGGGCATTAGTATAGAGATAATAAAACGTTGCTTTTCATAGATTATTTCACAGCAATTGTGAGTCACTAGCGTGAATAGTTGCTCCTTGGTGCTGTTATCGCCGTGGGAATGAGAACGAGACCAAACATTGTACTCCTGAACCCATACCCAGTCTGTTGCACAGGACACCAGTCAAGAAACACCTTGCTTACATGCAGAATAAGACGATACTCAAATTAAACTTTGTTTCTTAAATTTACGAGAGAACAACAGTTCAAAATCCATGCACCACCCGTCACCCGTCGAACTCTGGAGCACAAACCATACACATTGGAATCTTGAGCACACACCACACACGTCGAACAGAGAATGATTTTTTTTCAGGTAGAACTTGCGAAGCATAGCGCCTTGCAAAGAGCGTAAAAGCTGACATGATACCTGAAGCTGTCAACATAATAATTGAAAGCTATTTGCATGTCTTCCGGAAATAATGTCGTAGACTTAGTTTGTTCACAGACATTGAAATAGTCCCGGCCATACCTGACTACCCGAGAAATTTCTGTATGGCAGTGGACACTTCTGACGTATAGCTAACAATTGTACACTTTTCCAGGCTTGAAGAAGAAGCTCCAAGCAGCAAGCCGAAAGAGCGAGTCGAGGGAACTGCAGGTGTGGGTGCAGCCAATCACGAACGACCTGTACTACTGTGCAGCGCTGGGTGGTGGCAACGGCCCGCTCCTAGTAAGTATGTGGCTCAGCTTAAAGCTCAGCTTACTGAACCACGTGGTGGACAAGCACGATGTCCACGACGGACCGTTCAGCGAGTGCCTGCACCAGCCACTTTCTGACCGTGCATGGTTGACTGAGGGCAAGTTCATTTCTCGGTTCCTTGTCCAGGACACCCCTCCTGCGATTCTGATGTAGGAGAAATAAAAATACTTCTGAATGGCGTCCATCATAGCTGTGTGGTTATTCCAAGAACCCCAGCGTACAACAAGCTCCGGAGCATTGTTTCTAGCCCGCGGCTCCTCAAGGAAATCAGGCATCTGTCCCCCGGGTCCCAGACATCCTCCGTGGAAGCTTTTAACAGCGTACTGATTGGGTTCGCCTCCAAGTCTCGGGCATTTACGCCAGAAGGAATGGAAGCGAAGTAAACAACTCTTCTAATTGAATGACCATTCCTGGCATGGTGGCCTGCAGCCGATTCTGAAAACAATATTTAATAAAAAAAATATCCCTAATGGTCTTTTCATGGAATTAGCATGATAGACATGTGCAGTACAAGGTCAAAAGTTATATCTGTTGTGTTCAAGCCAGCACCCTGCGAACAAGTCTTTAGTAAGTCTTGTAAACCTGTGAATTAGCTTTTCGAATTTCAGTTTGCTTTTGTACCAGTGAGTAACATATGCCCTAGTTACACGGGTGCTTTGAACTGTCATTGAGTTCAATCACAGTTATCGGCCCCAACTGTGACGGAACCAAACTGAACTGAGATGGTGATACACGGCTCTCTAGAACCCAGTTGAAGCTAGAACTAAAATAGTTCTTTTGCCACGTGATTAGTCTAATTGTTAAAATAATTTACTGAAAGACACACCTTTTATTTCTTATAAGTATATTGTTCAGTATGTTGAATACCTTGTTGCTTTTTAGCGGCGTTTACACGAGTACCAAAGCAAATACAGGGCAAGGTTGCACATATTTTAGGCTAGGTGGTGCAAGCTACCGCCCGCTAGCTTCCTTCAAGTGTATGTATACATTTCGGTCTCCACATTGGAACCAAGTTCTTTTGTATAAGCACCAGCCCATATCTTGTCTGTTTTCACTGCAGAACCCTGCTTGCTGCACTGCACTACAATGAAAACGTTGGGCGGGAGCAGGCCACAACCCGGGAAGGAGCACGGCGCTTTATGGTCGTCACGTCCAGAGCACGGAAGGGCCATTCCACAGCACGGCCAATCCCAAGCGACGCAACGTTTGGTATGTTATTGCTCCTTCGTTTGGGGACAAAACAGTGACACAAGATTCTGTCTTTCAGAGTACCATGATGAGCTCATGGATGAGGTCATGACCTGCCTGGAAAAGTGGCCGACCCTGAGGGAAGCCTTCGAGGCGAATGCGTCGCAGCATCTGCCACCGATGTATGCCAGGTACCCGAGGCCCCCCAAGAGTGACCTGATTGCGGCCAGACGATCCCGCTTCAGCTCTCATGCCGGGTACGTTAACACAAGTACCGAATGTTTCTGATAACAAGACAGCCTCGTCAGTAATAAATATGTCAATAGCCTAGCTACCTCTTGATCCAAGGGATGATAGATTTTACAATAGCCTTCACCTGCATTATTTTTATCTGTTTTTGTTGATAATTGGCAATAGAAGCACTTTTAGCTGTTGCTAATATTTAAATTTTCTCTACAGATCGTCTCAGGACCAGTCCTGAAGCACCTTTGGTTCCACGCAGCCAAGTCTGCGCCTCAGGCATGAGCTAGGTAACGGGTAACGCGTAGTGAAGCGATCATTTTCCTCCTGCGAGTTTGAGGTGTGCCCTCCGTGCCGCAACATTACCCTGAGGCATAGAGAAATGTGTCCTCTGCGGGTACATTTTTTTGCTGCGATTTATTTAACTAAACTGCATTGCTGTTTCATTGTTCCTTTCTTTGCAGTGCAGGTAAGTGCCTTTGTGCTGCTTGTCTGTGTGGTGCTTTTGTATTTCAGAGGCACACGTAGGTGCTCTAGTCACTCTTCTCCACGTGACCGAGTCTCTGCTCGGGCATGAGGTAGGCAACGTGTAGGGAAATTATTTTTTCTTTCCTGAAAGTTCCCGGTGTACCCTCCGTGCCGAAACATTACCCCGAGGCATAAAGGAAATGTGCCTTGTGCGTCCCTCAATTTTTTGCTGGTTTGTCTAACTATACTGTGTTGCTTTCTTAGCAGTGTAGGTAAGTGCTTGTCTGCTGCTTTTGTGCGTGGCGTTTTTATATTTCAGAAGCAGCGGTGGGTGCTCACGTCGCTCTTTTCTGCGCGGCCAAGTCTGCGCCTCAGGCATGAGGTGGGTAATGCGTAGTGAAGCAATCATTTTCCTCCTGCAAGTTTTAGGTGTGCCCTCCGTGCCGCAACATTACCCTGCGGCATAGAGAAATGTCCTCTGCGGGTACATTTTTTTGCTGCGATTTATTTAACTAAACTGCATTGCTGTTTCATTGTTCCTTTCTTTGCAGTGCAGGTAAGTGCCTTTGTGCTGCTTGTCTGTGTGGTGCTTTTGTATTTCAGAGGCACACGTAGGTGCTCTAGTCACTCTTCTCCACGTGACCGAGTCTCTGCTCGGGCATGAGGTAGGCAACGTGAAGGGAAATGATTTTTTCTTTCCTGAAAGTTTCATGTGTACCCTCCGTCCCCAAACATTACCCCGAGGCATAAAGGAAATGTGTCCTGTGCGGGCTCAATTTTAATTTTTTTCTTGAGATTTGTCAAAATATATTGCATTTAACAGTTCTATCTTATTGTTACTTTTGCAGTGTGGGTAACTTCCCGTCTGGTTTGTTCTTTTTTCAGAATGCTTCAAGTGCCAATTTCCTTCATTGCTTCCCTTCCCTTCCCTTCCCTTCCCTTCCCTTCCCTTCCCCCCCCCCCCCCCCCCCTCATGAACTGGTGTGCCGTTGATGAATGGCAAGTGTAATACAAACCACATGCCACCATATTCTGAGGCTTTCTATAACATACATCCCTCCTCCCTCGCTGTATGTGTAAATATCAATAAAAGTTTACTCCACTGACTTTTTTTCCCAGAGCTTCTTTATTTGCATACAACATTGCACACCAAGTCAACCTCTTGAATATCATAAGAGATGTGTCATGTTACTGGGAAATAAGGAAAAAACCGAATAGCACAATTCGCAAACACAACATGCAGTGCAATGCAAGACGTTTCATGTTACTGCGAAACACAGAAAAAACCTACAACATAACATAAATGAGTATGAAACTCAAAAGTAACAAATAGCATCAAGACACTAGCTGTGTAGTAATCACCCTTAAAATCTAAAGCTTGGGAACTACATTTTTAACAAAAATAATTTCAGGACCAGAACTGTCGTTCGTACACTTCTTACACCTAACCGTTCTAACGTGACCCTTCACATATTCTGAGCGCCTCTTCGGTCACTTACAATTATGTGCGATCCTTTCTACTGTCGAGGAGCGGCCGTTGGAATTGGGTGAAAAAATGTAAAGAGATATTTCGAAAGAAAAAAGAGGTGAAGTTCGTTTGACCGCTCAGGAGGTCGCCTCGAATGCTGGTAGGCGCTGTATCACAGATCACGCCGACTGTTTTGGTGGCATCCTAAAACCAGTCGTGCCCCTGATTGCCTACCGAATAAGGGCAATGAAGCTAAACGACATGGGGCTCATGGGACAGATGAGCACCCATGAACTGTTCTCGTAACTTTAGGGATGAAGTTGTGTGCTCATAAATCCCACGGCTCACAGAGCTTCAAAGCCCCGGTATTCATCAGATGGATACATGTTTCGAATAGCCTGTACAACACAAGCTGGCAAGACCGTCCGGTTCCCTCTGCCAAGGCGGCGCCAGATCCACCAGACAAACTGCCGGTACGCCACATACCGGTACTTCCTGTTGAAAGACCAGAATGATGACTTAGGTGACACATGAGAATACAAGAAAAACTCGGGAAAGAGACTGCTCTGAAGAGCAGAACTGTTGTGAATCTAGAAAAAAAAAAGAAACAATGTACTATATGCAATCAAATCAGCCCACAGTAAAATTAACTTATCACCTCAGATAGTAACAAGATGCACATAATGTGAACAAGTATCGCTCCTCTTGCCGATTGTCAATACACCACACAACTAGGCCCCCATCGACAGCAAGGTCATAATTACAATCACAGCAAAAGTCAGTCATGCCCCAGCATCTGCTTACTAAGTCAGGCCAAATAATGTAGTAAAAATACATCAACTTTTCTGGTCTATAGCATGCAACACGACGTGGTGTTAGCCTTACTTATGGGTGCTCCTCTGTCCAATGAGCTCCATGTCATTTAGCTCCATCGCCCTCATCCGGTAGGCGATCTGGAGCACGACTGGATTCAGGATGCCACCGAAAAAGTCGGAGTGATCGGTGATGCAGCGGTTACCAGCCTTGGAGGCGACCTTCGGAACCTCCAGGCAGCAGACGCACTCGCGGGCTGTCGGCATTAGCTGGCAGCGGCCGCAGAGGCACCTGGTTGCACGTAATATCGCAAGAGTCAATAGCAGCAGTAGACTAACTTTTCTTCTTTCAGTCTTGACAAATCGAGGAAGTTGGTTACCACCCGAGCCATTCAGTGGCCAATTCGTCGAAGCATGGGACGTCTCGCGCGAGAAGGTAGCAGCGACGCAGTCCTTTTCATTTCACTTATTTATTTATTCACTTTCCCACAGCACCAGGGTGGCATTACAGTGGGGGGGAAATTGTACATTAATGTGATACATTTAAGCAATACAAAGGAGCATAACAGAACGCGGACATGCATAACGCCTAACGAAGAACAGCTGGAGTTCAATTACCAGCGGGTGTCGTCCAAGCGCGCCGAAGGCTCGGGAGGTTCGGGCGGTGCGCCGTCGTCGTTGTCGGCAGCCGTCCTCCGCGGCGTGTCTTCGAATGACCGAAGACCCAGCTGCTCGCTGCGGTCAAGAAGCTGACGCTTCAACTCGGGGTCCATTTTGCGCGAGGACACAGAAGTGCAGAAGCTACAAAAGGCTGTGGACAGTAGTACGCACACAAGACGCACCGGAAATCGGGACGCTGCGTACGTTCAACTCCGCAGCCAAGCCAATCCAACAGCAAATCCGAGAGCGAGGGGCGGGACGATCTTCTTCTCCGCGGGCGGTGAAAGAGCGGGAGTTTCAAATGTAGAGCGTTGTGACTCTGACTAAATTACGTCCTGTAACGCAAATATTGTAAAAAAAAAAATTTTTTTTCGCGGGATATTTGTTTTGTGACGTACTTGTCCCAACTAGGCTGTTTAAAAAAAAAAAAACTTTTTTTTCTTTGCAGTTACCCCTTAAAGCAAGCAACTGTGATCCCGCCAGTAGCAAAGGCCTTCGCGTCGGAGGTACGGCGATGAGGATCAGTCCACCAGAGAACCCCGCCGGAGACTTTTAATCCTTCGATAAGCGATGGGAACTGTAACTTCCTCCTCTTTCAACGAGGATTGAGGCAGTGCCTGGCCAGTCGAGGTACTCACTTTCACCAAGTTCCTTAATAATATGCAAGTTGCGGCTACATAAACAGGCGACGAAGTAACTTTTGAATAAAGAATGGCGACTTCATGCCTACCTCATAAAGACCCGTGCCGCCACCCAAGTTCGCTCCGCTAAAAGTGTCGCGGCTTCGACTAAAAAAAATGAAAGAAAGTAGCTTCACTTCTTTTAAAACACGAAGGCAACTAATTAAGGTGAACAATAAAAAACTCCCAGCGATTGAAAACACTCAAAATACAATTACACTTCAGGAAGGCCATGCGGCGATCGAGTGAAGCTGAGCGTGCGTCATGACGCAGAATTGAAACGCGACGTAAAAATATTACCTTTGTTAGGCCAGGTGCACTGCAAACTTGAGCTACTTGCCTTTTGAAGGGAAATGACGGGAACATGCCTGGTCTGACTTGATGCGAGCCGAACGGTCGATTGTCTCCAGCCAACATGGCTCGCATATCCTTACCTCTGTATAGGTGTCTTCTCGGCATTGACACCATGGTGGCTATCGTGACGGTTCCAGCATTCACAGAGCAACGGGGCCGGTTTTACGGAAACCATCATCTTTATTCGGAATCACCCCGTGCGAACGAACAAATCAGGGGAGATCGAGCAAGGTAGCCCTCGACGTGAGACGCTAGGCTTCGGCCAGTCGCGCTACGAAAAGAAACACGCCCTCAGCACTTCCGAAGGCGCGTGCTTGCGACAGTTGTCTGCTGCAAACTAGTTCGGTTGAGATCTTCCTCTAAACAACTCGGTGAACGCAGAACGACTCACGCATCGTACCGGCGTGCGGTCGTGTATCACTACTGCGTGGTGCACGTTAAAGACACCAGGCTAGCGGTTGTACTGCACTGGCTAAATTGCTCATCTACAGCATGTGACTCGTCGCAACTTTAATGGCAGACCAACTACACGCTGTATAAATATCCCCACAACCCCAATCATGATAATAAACGACGTCAGCAAGCGTAGCTCGTTGAGCGCACCGCGAACGCCGCAGTCATGTTTGTTATGGTTTGACAAAAAACAAAAAACTTACGCCTGCAAGAGGGTTCGAACTAAGGACAGCTTACTTATGAGGCAGACGTCTTAATTACTACGCTACACTCCAACTTTTTTTATATCTTTAATGAATGGGAAAACACGATCAAAATAAGTCAATACCAAACATCACTTCACATTAATACTTTATGCCGACTCGTTTGGCTCGGAATGCCCAGTTCTCACTCCTTGTTCCACGACACATTCAAGCTACTTACTTGTACTTATGTACGGTATGCGAGTCGCGAAGTACAAAACTACACAGACGGACAAGAAGTACAAAACAAACTTCGCGCTTCAAATTAGAGTATTAACATGGTAGGAAATTTATCATACTACTCACTCGAAAACGATGAACTGACATGTTAACGTATGTTTAAAAGTATGGTAGACCTAGGCATGCGTCAAAGAGACTGAACCATTCTGGTACCGATGGGCGTGCCTCGTATACGCTCCTTACTTTGGCAACTTCTTCAATGAAGAGAGATGTTGTCGTACGTGGTGGTTCAGCATTTATGTTTATCATGCGGCACTTCCACAGCCGATGCAGGCCTAGAAACATGAATAACTTGCATGGCACATGTTCGTGTGTTTTGACAGGAAGAAATCGTATACTATGTTCCGTGAAATCAATATCCTTTTTCAGCATTTGTTGAAGAACGTCCCAAAAAAAGACTTCGTCATTGCAGTAAATGAAGCAATGTTCGATGGTCTCAGGCTTGTTACATAGTTGACAGGACCATGGAACACAAAATCTCTTCCTGTAGCCACCACTTGAGAGGTAATGTTGAGGTATGCAATTTAAAGAAAAATGTCTTTGCACTGGGAGATACACACATCTTTTTAACGCGTTTCAAAACATCCTCTCCTAGACTGTCACAAAACATTGACCTATAAAATCGAAAAGGAAAAAATTCGTCAACCAACGCATGAGACAAACATTTTCTTGAACCACTAAATAAATATTCCAACGAAAACCGAGGTTTCAGAAAGAACTTTACGTCGACAACCTCTTTACAAAAACCTGTAAGCCTGTGCTGATTTACGTTCGTAGTTGTAACTATGATAAATGGCAAATGCGATGCCAGCTTCGTTTGGACAAGTGACAGTAGGAACGGGTCTGTCATATTCCTAAAGTAAAACAGCCTAGAGACCAGTTGGGTTACAAACAAATGATCAAGGCCCAATCCTCCAGACTCCAGAGGTAGGAACAAGTTATCCCGCCTCATCCGTTCCCAAGCGGAACTCCAAATGAAGGTGACTAACAAACGATGGAATGCTTGGATTCGTGGACGGGCACAGTGTAGTACTTGCAGGATGTGCATAAGTTTTGATGCGAGAAAAATATTGCAGACTGCGGCCTTGGAGAAGACGGAAAGATCTCGAACTCGCCAGGCGTCAATATTCCGTTTGATAGTTGTTGCAATTGGCATCAAGTATGGCCCACTATTCCTTGTATGATCGAGTGGTACGCCAAGATATTTGATTTCTGGTTGATTCCATTGGATTCCTTCAAATTTGGATGGCGTTCTTCTCCACATGCCCGACCAAAATCCATTCGACTCGTCATTATTAACAGATGCGCCTGTCAACGCACAAAAATTATGCGTTACCCGGAGTGCTTCTCCTACACTTTCCTCGTCAGAGGAAAAAAAATGCAACGCCATCGGCATAAGCCAACAACTTCACCTCAATGAAATTGATGATGTACCCTTGAACATTAAGGTTTCTAATTATACTAAGGCACAATGGTTCGAGATATAAAGGAAACAGAAGAGGAGATAGAGGACATCCTTGCCTCACTGAAGATTTCACAGCCATTGGGGCTGAAAGAGTGTTATAACAATGATTTTGGTAGAGCAATTTCTGTAACATAACTGAACGCTTGAAAGGACAGTGTCTCCAATATTGATATGGGAAAGAATTTGGAACAAAAAAGAGTGACTGACCCGATCAAAGGCTTTTTAAAGATCAACTTGTACCAATGCAACTTGATTGTTACTATCTGTCGCACACTCCAGAACGGATCTGGCGACATGTACGTTAGTTTGAATTGTTCTTTCTCGGATTCCGCACGTCTGGTGTTCTCCAATTAGAGAATGAGTTACCTTGTGAAGTCTTTCTGTAAGTCTTTTTGAAAAAATCTTGTAGTCTACATTACACAAGGATATTGGTCTGCAGCTTCCAGTCTTTTTCAGCACTTCTTTATCTGTACTTTTAGGTAGTAAGACCGTATGACCTTGATAAAAAGTGGGTGGAAGTATTTTTTCTTCGTATCCTACGTGGAAGACATCAAGCAGCACAGGAGCTAATAGTTCAGTAAATTTCTTATAGAATTCTGCGCTGAGTCCGTCGGGACCTGGTGTCTTATTCATGGGAAGTGAGTCTATGGCATATCGGACTTCTTCAACGGTTAACGCTCCATCTATCAAAGCTTTTTCTTCTTCTGAAAGGACTGCCAAAAAGTCAATTTGCCAAAAAGGTTCGTGTAGTGGTCTTGGAAGACTTTAAGAATCTCAGGTGTATCGTACACAGTGGTGCCTTCGTTATCGGTTGCTAGAACTTGTTTTGACAGGGCGTATCTTCTCTCATCATTTAGCGATCGACGTGTTAGGGGTTCAATGAGCGTAAACCGTTCCGTTCGTGAACGAACGACTGCTCCTCTATACTTGTCTGCATCAAATCGTTGTAATTGCGCTTTGGTTATGTTAATTTCCTCCGTGTATGTCCCAGGGCTAAACGATTCAAGTACGTATAAGGTTGCCAGGTTCTTGAATCATTTTCTTCGGTCATTCTTCCGCTCAAACAGCAGGATACTCGAATATTCAATGGCCCAGTTTTTGACGTTCTGTTTAAACATATCCCACTTTGCGAAAAACGGTAAATGTAGGCAGGCGCAAAGCATCTGACAACAGACAAGGAATGCGTTCAGTGAACCACTTTTCAGAAAGGAGAGTTACATTAAATTTCCACAAGCCCCATTCGGGGCGGAAGCATGACCACTTTTTTTCACCGATGCAAATTGATACCAGGCAGTGGTCACAGAAGAATATTGGTTTCACATTATAATCACTGATTTGAGGGAACAATTCACTGCTCACATAAATCCTGTCAAGGCGGGCATGTGATGAGTTTTGAAAGTGTGTGTAATGTAGATCTCCATATTTGACATCACCAATGTCTATTAGATTTTGCTCAGTTATTAATGATTCTAGTTTGGTTGCGCTCGAATCATTTCTGGGCGTTGGTTGCGAACGATCTCTATTACTGAAAACACAGTTGAAGTCGCCAAGAAGAACAATATTGCTCTCTGTAGTCAAATAATAAGATACAAATGAAAATAGAATATTCCTAGCCGACACTGCATTAGGGGCATAAACACGTATGAACCTCCAATCCTTATCGTCATACGTTAGGTCACACAAAAGAAAACGCCCCTCCACATCAATGGTCAAGGAAATTGGCGACAAAACTCTGAC